ATTTTCAAGTCTTTGAGAAATTGGACTGCGATGAAAAGGCGAAAGTGAAAATAATTAAATTAAAAGTAAAATAAAACAAACAATAAAATATGAAAAATGCAGTAAAATTTTGCGCGGATTAAAAGACATGTAACCATTCTTAAAAATCCAATAAAAAGAAACGGTTCAAAACGGTGTTGTTCAGGTTATTAACAAATGAAAAACATGTGTAGGATACAAAAAGACTACAAATGAAAACCCAAAAAAAGATACAAATTAATTAACACTCCTCGTGGACACCCCTCTATGATAACACAGCTCTCGAGCACCTCCTCACCTCGATCGATACCTAAAAAAGAAAAGGAAAAAACAGCTGAGTTTATAAATATATCTAATAAGCAACCTACTTGTAGACTCTTTATCGCATCCTTAACCTAGTATGTTATCACGTGTTTTTCTTTGGGCTCTAAGAAGTTCAGGCTATGTACTGTAGCTATCTAAGCTTGTAAGTAAGCCGTGAAGTCCTCAACAGATCTTAATCATCCATCACGAGTCAAATACCTATGTAATTTTGGTCACCTATCAAGATCGCGAAACTGCAGTTTTTGTCTGGATCCGTTTCTACACTCAATAGGAGCACTCCCACGTGATGTCTATCCATGTAAGACTGGTTCATGGAGTCATGGCATCAGAGTTTAACTCATTTCTTCACACAATAAAGATATCCCTCGTAATATACTAATGTAGTCCCTAATCTCTTTTCGGTACTGGTTTACGAATCTGCAGCTTTTGCCTCTATCTATTCTACGCTCAATAGATGAGCTTACCACCCGCGTAGTCCTTAATCTCTCTTTGAGACCAATTTATAGAATTGTGTCTTTCGCTTCGATCTATTATTAAACTCAAAGGTCTTAGGGGTTCAGATGACATCGTTCACCCTACTTTCAAGCCTATTAGCTCTTTTAGTCATCTTTGTCGTAGAAGTCTACAAGTTTTTTTGGGCTTCTAGGTCATTTACATCTCGTCTCTCGTTTTAGGAGTTCGAGACTAACTCCTCAAGTTTAGTCCACCCTCTGGGTACACTTGAATCTATACATCTGGTCGCTTAGAATCTTGGGGTGTTAGAACTATTGAAAACGTACTGAGATAAATCAATTTTAAACATTTCGAATATGTAAAAGACTCAAAAGATATAATATACATTTTTCGTAGACCTTAAACTTTACTTAGCTGGTAATAATCTAATTTTGCTTGACGTGGTCTAACTTGACCTATGTCATATCAGAACCTATTCATCCCGTTCACTTCACCTAATTTTTCTTATTTGATCGTAACATTTTAAATATTTTAAATTGACTAAATAATTATTAGCCAACAATATTTTAATGGGCGCTATTTTTTTTTTTTAATGAGCCATTAATAATTCTCCATATCAAAAAAATAAAATAATTTTTTATTATTGAAGTATTACTAAAGAGCTATATTTTAGCACGTGACATATCATTAAAATATTAATTTTTAGCACATAAAATTTATTTTATTCAACATCTAAATATTATTAAATTTATAGGTTAGTCAACCATTATACATAGTAAATCTATATTCGGTAAATGCCATATAAAGTAAAATGTAGCTATGTATAGTAAAAAGCTCTAGTTATATATAGGGGAGGGTTATATATGGTAAAGGTATATATAGTAAGCTAAACTATATATATATATATATATAAATATCAGTTTGAAAATGTACTTTTTGTCTGTATTCTCTCTTACGTATTGGTAGTCATCAATACAAAACCTTTAGCCAATATTTTGCTTGCATTTTCTCTATTATGTTCTTTGTGTTCATCTAGATCGAGTGTGTGCGTTGTTGTGCGATCCTAACAGTGATCACACGTCTTAATATGATCGGACATATTTAGTTACAATTATATATAGTTTAACAACTTAAGATATGTCTATCGAAAATGAGATTGTCCCTCGAATTCGGAAGTCTATAATGGAGGGTGGTGATTTATTTATTTATTTTGTAATGGGACCACCAAACGTTTAATTTGACTTTCAAATTAAAAAGAAAAAAAAAAGAGAATTATGGTCCTTTTTTTTTTGTTAGGTTGAATTTTTTAAAAATTAAAAATTTGGGTGAATATGAGAGCTGACATTTTTTGCTGAGTCAACCCGACAAATATGATTACAACTCAGTTCAACCCTAATCAAGGTCGCTGTATTCATTTTTATGAAATTTTAGTTATTATATAACATGTATAATAGATAAATAGGATTTTTTTAAATAATTAGAAAAAACAGTTCGACAATCTAACACTCACTTGACACAATCGCACTTTCGAAGGCAGCGGACTAGCGATTGTGCGGCACTCACTTTCCAATGACAAGTGAGCTAAGCCAATTTGTTCTTGCGTCGCCTACGGCCAAGCGACGTATGATCGAGCCTCTAGCCTCGGTTTTAAAAGAAGGTTTTAGAAAACGAGGAGAGAGAGAGATTTTAAAAAGAGAGATTTTTTTGAAAGAGACGTTATATAAGCAAGCAAGAGAAAGATAACAATGGCTTAGCATATATAACCTTGGGTAGGGAGAATTTGACTCTGTTCCCGGGGGTACCCTAAAAAAAGGAACCTTTCCTCTCCCCAGCCATTTGCCATTTCGGGTTAAGAAGATGTGAAAGCGCCTCTCTCTATAAGAACGTGGGTTCCAAGGTGTGAAGTGAGAGAGAAGGGGTTTTGAATAAGACGATCTTTTCATTTTTTTTTAAGTTGGTGGTCTAGTCAACTTCTGTTTCAAATATAGTTCTAATCTTTGGGTCTCTTAGGATTTCTCTATGGATATGTTCCTAGATATTTTTATGTTCAACTAATTGTTTATGTTCTCTGTTCTAACAATTTGTTACTGGACTTATCAAACACAACTAAAGAATAGAGGAGTAGGTTGCATTGAATTTTGAAATTTATTCAGATTGCTCGGATCATCAAATAATCTGAATTTAGGTTGCTCAGATCATATTAATTAGTTAAATTAGGTTAAATAAAAACGAAAATTATAAATAAGTAATATAAGGTTTTTTTTAATCAAATATATAGTTAATATTTAATACTAGAAAAGAATAATAAATAAAAGATTTAAATACTATCTTTACGGGTCTTTTGTACTTTTAGAATATTAATTTGGATATAGTACTTCTCTACACATGGTTCACGCACATATATAAACCCACTGTGTGGGACTCGTATGTATCCTTCCTAGATTTGGCTACTAGCTAGCATATGCTCACGTTGTCAGAAACTAATGGAAAGAAAGGAGCGTGTATCATATCATGGTGTATGCGTTTGTACAAAACATATTAAGAAAGTATCTCGTGCTCGTGACATATAACATGCATGAAGTCCCACATTATTAAATCATGGTATATGGTTACAATGCACTTCATACTTCCATACTATTCATGACATAACATTCCTATGAGACGTACATGTGTGTGCATGACATATCATCATTCTACTCATGCACGACACATCAAGTGTCTCATAAGACATAACGTAAACATGGTGTCATAACATATATAGATTAGTATATTGGAAATACATGTAGAAAAGTACGTAGATAAACCACATAGTATGTTTTATTCGTACAACATACAGTTCATTCCATCTAGTCTGAAGGTGTTCTAACGAGTTCACTTATTTGTAAGTCGAACCCAAAATCATTAGTGTTGATGTTCGTTGGATCATTCAAGATCCAAGTATACCCGTGACATTCCATGACATCATAATTAGAGTATCTCTAAGGAATTAAACCGCATAACATTGAGGGAAAGAGTTGTGCGGAACTATTGGCTAGCTAAAAGAGGATGTGGATCATAGTAGATTGTTTACCCTTTTTTCGGATTGAGGTAAGTGGTTTTTATGTTGGACGCCTTTCGTGATCGTTAGAGATAGCATACATTTTGTTTGTTTTGTGATTGTTGTGATGGTTGTGCTTACATGAAAATGTTGTTTTTAAATGTTATAGGACCTTTTACACGTATTGTAATGGTTCTTGTAAAATAAAATTGTGGTAATTACTCGTTAGTGAACGGGTTAATTGTACCACCGTGATCATAGGCTAAATGACCTACATTTTGATACATTCGATATTTTTAAAATCCACAAATTTACTCAACACAAAACCGAAACTTAGGATTATGTTAAACATAAAATTCAAATTTATATCAATTTTTTAAAATATATTGTTTAATTATTAAACACAAAATTGGAAGTTATGGTTAAGATATGTTTAAAGTTTAAGAATCTACTTAAACTAAGGGTGTACATGTTTGGTTGGGTTGGGTTGAAGATTTTTTTGACTCAAGTTCGGGTTGGTTGGATTGGTAACCCAACTCAACCCAGAACTTTTCACAACCCAACCCTCTATTTTCGAGTTGGGTTCGAGTTGAGTTGTCAATTTTTTTTAAAGTTTTATTTATCCACAATTTATAAATATTCGAATACAATCCTAAAAACAAAGAGTAAAATTATAATATATTAACATAGTTCAATGTTGTTGTAAACATATTTGACTGGTGTCGAAATCAGGCGTGAGATTCTTTAGACCGACCAAGGTATTACTCTGGCAAATCCATTAATAATGACAGATTCTTAATATATTTAATATATTTTTATTTAGCTTGGGTCAACTCAAAAATTTTGTCCCACAAACTCGAATTCGAACTGATTCAGTTTGGGTTCAGAAAAAATGAACCTAATCCTACTCAAAATGCTAATCCAACCCAACCCAACCCAACCTTTTTAGTTCGGGTTGGGTTAGTCTGGATTGTCGGGCTGTCGGATTGAATGTACACCCCTAACTGAAACAAAATTGAAAATCCATCGACATAATATATATTTTTTAAAGTCCAATAACAAACTAAATATAAATCTCAAAGTTCAGAATTAAACGTGTAATATAACCAACAAAATTATACATATGATTGGAAAAAAAGAACACGAGAATGATTTAGGGGCGAACACGAGGGCAACAAAACGAGACCTTATTGACCCAAATAGAACTACACGAACCCAAATGACAATATTCTACTTTACATTTTTATGTACTTTGAGAACTTTTTACAATAAATTTAAAGAAACAAAATACTATTAAAGTTTAGGAACCAAATATACAAATTTGATCGATATATACCCCCCAAATGTACTATTCGAGTTTACTTTCACATAAATGAGCATAGAGGCATAGCAAACCTTTTTCGATGTACCAAGCTATGTATGAAGACTATGCTACATGATTCGATGAGCAACAGATCTCGTCGACATAATCGGTGCGCACGTAGACTGCATTAACCAGTGAGCTATGAGTCCGACCATAAAACACGTAAACCAATGCGCCGATCGCAAACCAGACAGAAACCCGGATCCAAGTTGCGAGCCTGAAAGTCGGGTTTGAAAAGGGAAGTGTTGAAAGTATATAGATCAGTATAAAAATTCATCAGAAGTTGATTTGAATGGTAAGTTCATGTCTCAATATACTCACCCAAGATCAATCAGCAAGTATGAGTTAATAAGAATGCAAGCAGCTGGTAAGAAAGGTACGTATGGGCAAGCAAAACCTGAGAGACAGATAATGACAAGCATAGCTAAGTAAGATCCAGATGACATTGTCATTTGAACACTATATAGTCAACGAATAACAATTCATTCAAGAGGTGTCGTTAGCAAATTTAATCGAGTTCAATGAGTTTTTTTTTTAAGAAGAAACTAAGAGTGTAACAGCCCAAACCCACCGCTAGCAGATATTGTCATTTTTGGGTTTTCCTTTCAAGGGCTTCCCCTCAAGATTTTAAAACGTGTCTGCTAGAAAGAAGTTTCCACACCCTTATAAGAAATGTTTCGTTCCCTTCTCCAATCAATGTGGAATCTCACAATCCGCCCCCCTTGGGGGCCAGCGACAGGTGACTGGCTCTGATACCATTTGTAGCAACTCAAGCCCACCGCTAGTGGATATTGTCCTCTTTAGGTTTTTCTTTCAAAGACTTCCCCTCAAGGTTTTAAAGCGCGTTTGCTAAGGAGAGATTTCCATACTCTTATAAGGAATGTTTCGTTACCCTCTTCAACCGATGTGGAATCCCAAAATCCACCCCCTTTGGGAGCCCAGCAACCGGTGACTGGCTCTGATACCCTTTGTAACAGCCCAACCTCTCCGTTAGCAAATGTTGTCCTCTTTGGGCTTTCCCTTCAAGGGCTTCCCCTCAAGGTTTTAAAACGCGTCTGCTAGGGAGATGTTTCTACACCCTTGTAAGGAATGTTCCGTTCCCCTCTCCAACCGATGTGGAATCTCACAATCCACCCCCTTGGGTGCCCAACGGCCGGTGACTGACTTTGATACCATTTGTAACAGCCTAAGCCCACCGCTAGTAGATATTGTCCTCTTTGGATTTTTCCTTCAAGGGCTTCCCCTCAAGATTTTAAAACGTGTCTACTAAGGAGAAGTTTCCACACCGTTATAAAGAATGTTTTGTTCCCCTCCCCAATCAATGTAGGATCTCAAAGAGAGAGATGAAAGAATATACCCAAGCGCGCACAAAAAAGACAAAAAAACCAAGCCCCAACAGTAAAAAGAGTTCGACGCTTGCTGGAAAAAGGACTCGAATCTAAAAGAACATGATCAAACTCATAATTACATTACAAAAAGGCCTAGTAACCCTCGTAAGCAAGTGTTAAGCCTAGCCACCTCCACCGACTTGATTCAAAGATAAAATCAATTATAGGATAGATAACTATGATTTCATAGTATAAATGATACAAACCTCCTCTATGGCCAAAGCTGTGTCTTGCATCATCTTGATCTAAGGAAGCTAGCACAATCAGGCTACCCAATAGAAGAACTCCACCGACTCCACAGGAGACGAAGCGAGGAATGCTGGTAACAGAAATCGTTAGAACTAAATTCAAAATAGGTCGTGCGCTACTTTAGATAGTTCACGCCGTCCATACATAATGTTTTTAGCAATAATATAATGTTCCATAGAGCTAAGGCCTAAAACATGGAAGAAATTTGTGCTCCTCGTGTAACAGCTCAAGCCCACCGCTAATAGATATTGTCTATTTTGGCCCGTTACGTATTGCCGTCAGTCTCACGATTTTAGAACGCGTTTGTTAGGGAGAGGTTTCCACACCCTTATAAAGAATGTTTTGTTTCCATCTCCAACCGATGTGGGATCTCACAATCCACCCTCCTTGGGGGCCCAGTATCTGGTTCTGATACCATGTGTAACTGCTCAAGCCCACTGCTAATAGATATTGTCCGTTTTGGCCCGTTACGTATCGCCGTTAGCCTCACGATTTTAAAACACATTTATTAGGGAGAGGTTTCCACACCCTTGTAAAAAAATGTTTTTGTTCCCCTCTCCAAACGACGTGGGATCTCACAATTCACCTCTTTGGGGGCCCAGCATCCTCGCTGGCATACCATCCGGTGTCTGGTTCTAATATCATGTGTAACAGCTCAAGCTCAGCGCTAACAGATATTGTCCGCTTTGGCCCGTTACGTATCGCCGTCAGCCTCATGATTTTAAAACGTGTCTGTTGGGGAGAGGTTTCCACACCCTTATAAAGAATGTTTTGTTCACCTCTCCAGCCGACGTGGGATCTCACAATACGTCAGACAAAGGATATTAAAAAATAATTTGTCTTGCTCGTATATTTTAGGCAACGCATCATTGTTTTCCTTTCCCATTTTCTTAATCAATCCTTAAGACTTCGTACATACATCATGGTTTCCACACCCTTAAAACGTAGGCTTCTAAAGTTGATTACCTGGGGAGATACTTGGCTGAAGCTGTGAATGTAACTATTAGAATTCCTATACAGACAAGTGCAATAGCCCAAGCAGCCGTTTTTCGCCTTTTCTCTTCTGCATTCATTTTAAAAAGATGTCAACTTATAGCTCCAACAACATGAATATCAGGATCCTTACCATCTACAATCCGAGGCTTAACGGATTATTATTCATGGAATAATCTCTCGGTTCAATCTTTACGCATTCTTCGTTTCACTTACAAACAGCTTGTTTCTTATAAAAGAAAAATTTTACAAGACGTAGAGATAGTAGTCATTCTAACCTCGAGATACGTCTCTCTCGATAAGAGGGTAACTGAGCATGGTGTTTCCTTTGTCGCTTGAACCAGATGAATCTCCAACGACATTGCTATCGGTTTCCAGGCTCTCACCATCTAACTGTGATAATTTCGAGTTGATAGCGTCTTGAAGTGAAGATGGAAGTGGGGACTCATGTGGTGGAACATATCTGAGTATCAGAACTGATAAGGCAACTGTAGTAAATGCAAGAAGTGTTCCTACACTTACCTGTATTCAACGGAAGAAGCATATAAGAAGAGATGGAATTAGAATCTTAATGTATTCTGTTTATGTTTTTAATAGATTTGATCGTTCTTCAATCATTTCATCTTCAGCTTATATCAAAACCTTGATTTACCATTCCAGCCAACTGTGAAACATCCATAAAAAAGGCCAGAGCTGCTGCAAAAAGACCTGTTATAATGGTGCCCTTTACTGGAACTTGAGTGTGCTTATTGATGTCTGCAAAAATAGAGGGTAACAATCCATCTCTAGCCATGGCCATTAGGATCCGGGGCTGGAAAATAAAGGAATGTGAAATTTTAACATTTAAGTAGTTCACATTTAAAATAAAAGCACGACATCCCAATAGGTTGCCTGGTGTGAGGGCTTGGGATGTTTCGAGAGAACTGACAGACCCCTAGTTCAAGCTCTAGATGATATCTCAATGTAGTTTGAGAGAACCGACAGAGCTTGAACTAGCATTCACCGTCATCCGTACATACCCCTAGTTCAAGACATCCCAATAGGTTGCCTGGTGTGAGGGCTTGGGATGTTTCGAGAGAACTGACAGACCCCTAGTTCAAGCTCTAGATGATATCTCAATGTAGTTTGAGAGAACCGACAGAGCTTGAACTAGCATTCACCGTCATCCGTACATACCCCTAGTTCAAGACATCCCAATAGGTTGCCTGGTGTGAGGGCTTGGGATGTTTCGAGAGAACTGAAACACCCCTAGTTCAAGCTCTAGATGATATCTCAATGTAGTTTGAGAGAACCGACAGAGATTTGAACTAGCATTCACCGTCATCCGTACAGACCCCTAGTTCAAGACATCCCAATAGGTTGCCTGGTGTGAGGACTTGGGATGGTTCGACCCTAGTTCAAGCTCTAGATGATATCTCAATGTAGTTTGAGAGAACCGACAGAGCTTGAACTAGCATTCACCGTCATCCGTACATACCCCTAGTTCAAGACATCCCAATAGGTTGCCTGGTGTGAGGGCTTGGGATGTTTCGAGAGAACTGACAGACCCCTAGTTCAAGCTCTAGATGATATCTCAATGTAGTTTGAGAGAACCGACAGAGCTTGAACTAGCATTCACCGTCATCCGTACAGACCCCTAGTTCAAGACATCCCAATAGGTTGCCTGGTGTGAGGACTTGGGATGGTTCGACCCTAGTTCAAGCTCTAGATGATATCTCAATGTAGTTTGAGAGAACCGACAGAGCTTGAACTAGCATTCACCGTCATTCGTACATACCCATAGTTCAAGACATCCCAATAGGTTGCCTGGTGTGAGGGCTTGGGATGTTTTTGAGAGAACTGACACACCCCTAGTTCAAGCTCTAGATGATATCTCAATGTAGTTTGAGAGAACCGACAGAGATTTGAACTAGCATTCACCGTCACATACCCCTAGTCCTAGTTCAAGACATCCCAATAGGTTGCCTGGTGTGAGGGCTTGGGATGTTTCGAGAGAACTGACAGACCCCTAGTTCAAGCTCTAGATGATATCTCAATGTAGTTTGAGAGAACCGACAGAGCTTGAACTAGCATTCACCGTCATCCGTACATACCCCTAGTTCAAGACATCCCAATAGGTTGCCTGGTGTGAGGGCTTGGGATGTTTCGAGAGAACTGACACACCCCTAGTTCAAGCTCTAGATGATATCTCAATGTAGTTTGAGAGAACCGACAGAGCTTGAACTAGCATTCACCGTCATCCGTACATACCCCTAGTTCAAGACATCCCAATAGGTTGCCTGGTGTGAGGGCTTGGGATGTTTCGAGAGAACTGACACACCCCTAGTTCAAGCTCTAGATGATATCTCAATGTAGTTTGAGAGAACCGACAGAGATTTGAACTAGCATTCACCGTCATCCGTACAGACCCCTAGTTCAAGACATCCCAATAGGTTGCCTGGTGTAAACTAGACTGCACAAGGCCTTTCTGGAGATTAATAAAGGTGGGCTAGGAGCAAAGAAAAACTAGACTACTGCCATAATCACCAGCAAGTGGCCACCTTAATCGAAAACAAAAACGAAAATCGACCTCTTCAAGGAACTAATAGCTGTACCAACACACGACCAGTTGCCAACCAAAACGATAACCCATGAACCGTAATTGCCCTACTATCTACCATGGAAAGTAACTTTTTATAGCACATACCTGAGGAAGAATTGAACCCAATAAGCTTGCAAAAAGAGCAGTCACTGCCCCAACCGTAATTACGTACCTGAGAATGAAAATGCTAGCTTTTAAAAGAAATACTGAAAGTAAAAAATAAACAGAACAAGCAAAGATTCCCATGAATTTCCCTCAATTTAGAGAATCCTCACATGGCCCATTGCACACCATAGCTAGCAAATGCAGAGGAGATAGGGGTGTCTGGATCCAAGGCATAATACGGTACCAAGCCAACTATCACCGTCGAAACGAGCATATACAAAACGCTACAGATAAGCATAGTGAGTCCTATGCCAAGGGGCAAATCTCGTTGAGGATTTTTCATCTGTCAATTCAAAGGTTCAAATAGTGATGAAATGCTATAAAACTATCAAGAGGTAGACCAAACGAAACAGAATTTCTAAATCCATATTTTCAGTGTTCTTATTCGTATCCTTAACCCGTTCCTCGTGATCTTAAGTGAGAATGAAGTTGTTAACATAAACTATAAATGAGGTCATTTTCATTTCCTGGTACAAGAAAGTATTATCTCACAGCGATAACGAGATCGTAAATGTACCTCCTCAGCAGTGCTAGTAATTGAATCAAATCCGATATATGAAAAGAAAACTACTGCAGATCCAGCAAACATCCCATTCACACCGAAGGGGAAGTATCTACAAGAACATAAGAAAGTGTAAACTAAGGGATACGCATTCGAATAAAAATTTAATCACAAACAACGTAGTTTCCTTTACCCGTTCGGAAGTTCGTATCCAACCCATCCATCTCTGAAACCAAGATATCCACCGACTATAGCAATGAAAAGCAAAGCACAGACATTTATAGTTGTGACTATGGTTTGAGCCAATGAACTCTGAAAAATAACCATTGTACTTCACAATAAAGGAACCCACAAGTGAAACCAGATGAGATAAGAAAAGATTTCATGGTTCTACTGAAAACACCTTCTTTATCCCAAAGCACAAAAGGGCAGTAACAATACAGATTAAGATTGCTGCACATGGATCAACAACAATACCAAGTCCAGGGATCGTAATACGGGCCAAGAAAACCGGTAACTTATCCTCACCTCCCAAAAACAGTGCCTGAAATGAACAGAAACGGTAGCATCACGAGAAATTGCGCAGTGAGCACCATAAACATCTCATGCATGATAAATAAATTCAACTGCACATGTGAGTAGAGATTCGAACCTCTAATGTTTTGATCGAGGATATAATGTTTGAGCCAAATGAGTTATGCTCACGTTAGCCGTTTCTTTTTATTATTATTGTTTAATATATTCCTCAAAAGTTCTATAATAACGCATGTTTAGTCTCATATAAGGAACCAAGTATCCAACTCCCAGTCTCAAGTTTAAGACCATGAGTGAATGTAGGAAGTTTTTACTATACCAGATTGGGAGTTATGCCACGAGCCACCGTAGAACCACCGATCGTCCATTCCAGAATCAGTGCCCAGCCAACCAACCAAGCAACTCTGGGAGTAATCAACCACACAGTTAGTCGCCAAACGAGGGTCAAATAAGTTTATGCACAATGTAACGAATAAGCGGCTAGCTGCTTACAGCCAGCTATATATAACACAAATCACATTCTTTCGGATTAATAGTAAAAGTGAAGCCTCATTGTCATTCAATAATGAATTTTCTAGCAACCAAGTATTGTAGAGACAAGTAATTGTGCTGTGAAATTGGTGAATATATGTGTAAGCTAGCTCGGAACGCTATAAAAAAAATCGTCGTACCCTTCTCCAACGCATATGTATGTATAGTGATAGGCACTCCCTGCAGATGGGCATCGACAAGCAAGCTCCGCATAACAAAAAGCTGAGAGTGCTGCAGCTACCCCAGCAATAAAGAATGATATTGTAAGAGAGGGTCCTGCGTGCTCTCTGGCAACTGTTCCAACCAAAATATACACTCCAGCTCCAATTGTAGCTCCAACTCCTGATGAGGAGGAAGAAAAGCAATCATCACATATCATTAACTCTTTTAGTTTAACCAACCAAAAACAATAGAAACCCAATCCGCAAGAAAGAATTTATATGTTCGAGACATGATAAACACATTCAAATAACAAAATCTGTTAGGATCCACGAACCTCCACAATGGTATGATATTATCCACTTTGAACATAGGCTCTCATGGCTTTACTTTTGGTTTTCCCAAAAGGCCTTATACGAATAGAGATAGTATTCCTTACTTATAAACCCAGATCTTTCCCTTAATTAGTCAATGTGGGACTCCTCTCCCAACAATCATCCCCTCGAACAAAGTACACCATAGAGCCATTCCCGAGGCCTATGGATGGAGTCCTCAAACAACCTCTCCTTAATCGAGGCTCGACTTCTTCCCTAGAATCCTCGAACAAATAACACCCTTTATCAAGATAGTATTCCTTATAGACTCATGATCTTTCCCTTAATTAGTTAACGTGGTACTCCTCTCCCAACAAAATCAAGTTTACATTAGAAAACTCATAGAATTGTCTTAAAAACAACTTGGACAACATAGGCAGCACAATTCCCAATGATTCATAGGTCAATTTCAAAACATTGTAAGCAAAATAGTCCATGGAAAAGCAAGAATCTAGAACAGAAGAAAAAATCAAACAACCATTAAACATGACCCTACTCAATCCATCCCAGAAGGAGCAAATTACAGAAAGCAGAATCATGAAAAACCCCCAAGAACTCACCAATGGCAACAAGGTCAAGCGTAGATAATTTCTTAGCCAGTTGATGATTCTCCCTCGTTACATTCTCAGAATCCACCTGTTTTCTCCTAACCAAACTTTCAAAAACACCAGATAACCTTCTTCCATAATCAACATCCGAATCCCTCGAACTCTGCTCACGAACCAGCATATTATTCACAGACCAAGATGAACAAACTTGCTGTTCTTATCACAGTTCTTGAAAACCCATCGCCAGTTTACTTCAGAAATTCAAAGAGGTGTCAGAAACAATAGACAAATCGGATTATCTTTATCTTCACACTTCCCAATATAACGCACCATGCCCCCTTATATCCCTCAATCCCATTACATCTAACAGATCATCATACTGTAAATTTTTGGTACGAAATTTGGAAGGAACTTATCTGCTTCGGTTGAAACTTGAAACAAGAAACAGGAAACAGGAACAGCTTCTCCCACGGATTCACCGAGTTTAATGGCTGGCCCTCCTTGTTTGATTCTGTGTTCCCTTGATTTGCGGCAAACGAATAATTGGAGATGGAATATTAAAATGGCATCGGTATTAGTTTAGTAGAAGATTTTCCAATTTCGGCTGCAATTGCAAACGAAGTTGGATTTTCCATTCCGGTCCTCGTTTTGATAAGAACGAAAGAAAATGGAGAGATTCAAATCATTTCAATCTTTCTTCTATACGAAGGACTTAATATTTTGGTTTGTACTCTTACTTCACTTGGGAATTAATTTTTTAAATTTACTTCAATTTTTTTTTTCTTGAAGATTTTAAATTTCTCCGTAAAAATAACGGTTTGATTTACATTTTCCATTAAAACTAAATAATAATTGAGCTATACTGCCTGTTGACATATTTAGAATATATGGATAATTGAATTAAGCTTAATTTTTTTTTATGGATGAAATTATATGTTCTATTTTTTTTAAAGTAAAAATTAATTTATTTTAACGATTAAATTACAAATTTATTTTTGTTACTGCATATATATCATAATCAGTGAATTCAAAAAAAAAATCATAATAATTGAGCTATATTCGTGTGACATATTTAAAATATATGATAATTGAATTAAATTTAATTTTTTAGTGATAGAATTATATATTCCATTTTTTTAAGATAGGGATTAATTTATTTTAAGGATTAAATTATAAATTTATTTTTGAGAGTTAGGATATATATATCATAATGAGTGAATACAAAAAAAAAATATATATATATATATATAATTTAAAATAATTCACTTTAAACGAAAGGTAATCGTTAAATGGAGAAAATTTAATTATTTTGGTGTTTAAAAATTTTTAAGAATATTATTAAAAAAAATTGAAAGTTTGGGATATTTTTTAAATAAAAAATAAAATTTATATATAAAGGATGTAAGGTGGACAAATAGTGAGGAAGTCTTCAATTACAATTTGCTCACTGTCGACAGACACGACAAAAAAGAAAGCCAAAGAAAAGAAATTTCAATGAATTAGCTTTCATAGAAATAACTGTTGCGCAAGCTCGAGCTCATTTTTTTAACGATAAGGATAAGGAGTGCGTCGGGTTATTGTTTAAATTCAACCTAATTGTTCGAGTTATAAGTTTTTCTAATCAAACAATTCTTATTAAATAATGAATCTGACCCAACGAACAAAACAAACAGCAAAAAGTTCAAATTCAAATTTTCACTCTAACGGTCCAAGCTCACCGCTAAAAGATTGTAACGACCCAGATCCACCGCTAGTAGATATTGTCTTCTTTGGGCTTTCCCTTTCGGGCTTCCCCTCAAGGCTTTAAAACGCGTCTGCTAGAGGAAGGTTTCCACATCAAGGGTGATTTGTTCTCCTCCCCAACCAATGTGGGACGTCACAAAGATATTATCCTTTTTAGATTTTTCCTCATGGACCTTCCCTCTATGTTCACTGCTAGTGACAAGTTTCCACACTTTTATAAATAAGGTTGTGTGGTGGGTCCATATAACCCACAGGTCTCAAGACTGATGGTATCAGAGCTAGACACCGAACGATGTGTCAGCAAGAAAGCTGAACCCCGAAGGGGTGTGGATACTAGGCGGTGTGCCAATAAAGACATTGGTCCCTGAAGGAGATGGATTGGAGAGTCCTACATCGATTAGAGATCCCACATCGATCGGGGAGGAGAACGAAGCATTCTTTATAAGGGTATGAAAACCTCTCCCGAGTAGTCACGTTTTAAAAACAAGCAAAATTCCATTACAAAGGTCATGACATCTTGGCAAAGCAATTTCATCAAACCACAACTACCAATTTCCTGATTCCACATACAACAGATAGTTCATGTCATAGATGTTATTATACAAGTCACAATAGTAACTTACCAAGTATGTGTGTTAGCCTTCTCACCTGGGTTTCGGTATGCAGGCGTCACCGCCATCTGAATGCTGCATCCACGGGCTTCGACTCCTTTATCCATTTTTCCATGTCTGTTGCCTCACACTCCTGTCATTTGTATCCCCGCCGTCGGAGAATTGAGCCCACACGCTACGACTTTGTCCTCCTCCGCTAAGCTCCTCCTCGTCCTCACACCCAGCAACAGTCTTCAAAAGCTCTGACTGCAGCAATGGACAGTGTTCTTTGAGAAACTCAAACCCATTAGATTGCATTACAGCTGCATCAAACCTTTGGACAATCAGACATTATGAATAAAGAGAAGTTGTCAACATTCAAGATAAAGAGAAAAGATATCTTCAAATAATGCACATCATGGTGTACGTGCGCACGACCAGAAGAGTATCCACTCATCATAGTGTATGTGTGCACGACCCGAACAGTATCCACTCATCATAGTGTACATGTACATGACCAGAACAGTATCCATTCATCATAGTGTATGTGTGCACAACCAGAACAGTATCCACTCATCTTAACAAAAAGAATACAGCCCTATCTCAAGCTCGAGGACTAACCCCCCCCCCCGCAAGCCTTCCTCCTGGAGTACGTAAAATGGACTGTGGCAGATAATATTTCTTTTCGGAAAATAGTTTATCCACAAGTCAGACTCTTAGCATGAAAAAAAAATCCTGATTTCATGAGATTCTTGAACTCTGAAGTGAAAATAAAATAGTAACCTGTGGTTTAAGGGCCAAAATTTAGGCAGACAACACTGCATCATCAATTCAAATCCTAGATTATTAGCGACTTCAAGACGGTAGAAAAACACAAACAATAATAAGCGTGGATACATCCACCACCAAGCAAACATCGATAGCATTTATTGAAGAAGATGCACACCAACAATCACGAAGTATCTTCGACCAATTGTAAGGTGTCAAGGAGAAAAAACGGCCCGGCACACTGGCGCAGTCCTAAGCAGAAAAGTAAAATGTCGCCCAAGTCACCTAAAAGACAAATATTCAGCAGGATAATTCACAGAAACAAATGCTCAACAGACGTGCACAAATTTCAACTAAGAAAGATTACCGGAAAGCATAATGTTATAATTCTACTCCATGTTATGGCATATGCATAGCTGCTGAAATTGATCCATAGAATGCTAATTCTTCAATGAGAGTCGGCCAAACACATACCAACAAGATTTTCAGCAGTAAATTTTAGGCAAACAGACTTCAAATCAGCAGCGTGATAGAGGTCAGCAAGGGCCAGAATATGGGATACAGAGGAGACAGATATGTCCTTGCAAAGTACAGATTCACACATCGATCTAAGTCTGGGTAAATCATATTTATCAGCAGCAGCTAATAATTTTGCAGGTAATGAATCAGGTAAAGATGGAACTGAAGACGAGCTTGCTTCTAAGAACTCATCATCTTCTGGGAGAGTATCCCTATAAATGAAATGTAGCAGAGCCTGCACAGATGAAATGCAAGAAACTGTCACCAGACGAGAATAAGCACACTGGACATGCTACAAATCCAGCCAATTACATATTGGAAGTGGCAAAAGTAATAGCTTTTTTTAGAGAATTCACCTTAAAAACCCTAGGTTCCATTTCTGTTATATGAATTTCATCATTATCTTCTTCAATCATGTTGACAAAATCGTTTTCAAAAACAGGAGAGCGAGCGACCAGTACTAGCTTGTGAGCATGAAATTTTTCCCCTGACACATTGAAAGTGACATCTGAACCCTCCTCATTTTCCAGTAATGTGCCAAAATGAGCTCCAATATCAGATTCAGGGACATGGATGGAGTGTAGTCTTGAACTGTCTATTCCAGATACAACAACACCAACAGTGCAATTTATTTTCAAGCAATCGTCCTTAAGGAAAACCGATGTTTCAAGTGAAGTCCTTCGGAAGAAACGCTTATAGCCCCTAAGACCAAAGGAAATAATACAATAATTATTAATAATAACTACAAAAACCATAAAACGAGCTTGCATACAATCCATTTGGTGAAAGAAAAAAGTGAAAAGTAATCCTTTTCACAATCACATACTTTCTAATGTATTTATGCCAGTTCAATCTTTGATTTCAGACCAAGTTACAAAGATCATGTACTTCATCATATATCCAATAGCAAGAAGATGGTTATCAAGAAGAAAGGCGCAAAAGAAATTCATGTAGAAAATTAAATATTAGTTAATTCACTTGTTTTAAAATGCTCCAACGGATTGAATATGAAAACGAAAAAAGCTAACGGTAGTTCATATGTTAGGATTCACCACCCTTACTATCAAGTTGTCACCAGTCACCATAATATTAGGTCCCCAAGCATGCTTAACTACAGGGTTTAGATGGAACTGGTGCACTAGAGCTAGTATGGTTGCATCCACTCCCCAATCAAGATTTTCTTCAAATATATGCTTAACTTTCAAGCCACATTATCAAAGGAAAAGATGGAATTGCACAATTGAAAAGTTTCTCATTCTTCGTAGCAAAAGCCTCCAAAGATATATCTAGTACGACAAATAGGGATGCTAGACAAAGACAAAAGTCGAGCAATCAAGTTGATTAGGCTTCAGAAATTATAAAATGAAACGCATGCTCTGACTGAATCCGACCCCACTCATGACTTATCCCAGAGGGAAATGCCACCAATGCAAGAGCCAGAGCAGGCGGTGTCTCCGCCCTCCAAAACAGTGACGTTGACTATTGAAACCCTGCAGACATTGATCCAGGCTGCCGTGACAAATCAAGGAGGGAGGGGAAATGGAGATAACTCCTCGAAGTACTTGAGGAATTTTTGCAAGTATGACCTGTTTGTGTTTGAAGGAAAGTCCACTGATCCAAGCATAGCTGAAGCTTGACCAGGGAATCGAAGGAGGGAGGGGAGATGGAGATAACTCCAGTATGACCAAGGAATCGAAGTACCTGAGGGATTTTTGCAAGTTTCATTAATTCAATTAAAATTTTCTTTTCTTGTTTGGAGGGAAAAAAAGTAGTTTCTTGTTTGATAGACAATTTAGCACACAGCCTGCAGGGTATGCAATAAAGCAAATCCCATGGGTACCTCATTAATTATCCCATATGTTCATCACTGTGATTCGACAACTACAGTAAGTGTCGAAATAATAAGAGTGGTTTAAGAAACCACCTTGCTGTTTAGCTATCAATATTGAGCTAAAAGGAAGAAAAATATTCCTTATCCATATATTCCCAATTTGAAAATCTAAGGCATCCATATTCATAATTGCTAAGCATCCTCTAAACATGTCAAAATGAATGGCAATTGATCAAACATCATGCAACTAATCGTTACCCACGGTTCTAAATTCATTCATTGACAACAAAAAGGAGAAAACTCAAACATTAAGAAGCATAATTCTTACCACATGCTACCTCTGTACTTGAGCGTGTAAGGCCCACTCTCGAGCGATCGATCGAAATGACTATGCACCTTGTGCTTTCCTTCACCACTCTGGTCCACCAAAGTGAGCTCAAACAAGGCACGCACATCAGTGCCCTCGCTGGCCAAGGCAATGAACACTGACACATAAGCTGAACTATCCTCCGGATTCTTCCCGTCAGGATAGAAGTATATAGCCCACTGATAACCTCCGACGGTAAAAGTCTCGCTAGCAATATGCTTTCCCACGCCGATACCCTTAGCGAGAGAATAACCCTTGATCACAAAGTTATGTGAGGCATTAATAGTTTCAGTAACAGACCGAGAGCTCGTCGGAGAAACTAAGGGGCTGTTGTTGGGCGAGTACATCTTGTTATGGCTGCAGAAACGAGATGATCATGGGATTCAACGCGGAATTAAAACCCTAGGCCGAGAATACGAACCTGAAAAGGAGAGAGGGTGCGAAGGGGATGGAATTGTGAAGCTTCTGCCGGAGATTTTACAGAGAGAATGAAACGAAGATTTGGGGGAGAAGGATTTTGAGTTTTTATTCAATGGAAAATCAGTAATCGCTATCTTTCCCACTTCTAATATTTTTTATTATAAATATACGATCATTTCCTAAATTATCTAATTACATTAAAAAAAAATAGTATTTTTCTAAATTAATATAAAATTTAAATATTTTTAAATAATATCTTCTATTAATTGGTTTCAAAAATATTTATTTAAAAAATATTCTTAAAACTTTAAAATCTTTCATTAATATGTTTCAAAATTTAAAAATTTTAAAAATATCCTTTTCTTTAATATATTCATTAATATACTTCAAAATTTAAAAATTTTAAAAATATCCTTTTCTTTAATATCATGTTTAAAAAATAACATAAAATTTTAAGATTAAATTAACCCTCTTAATATTTATTAAAAAAGAAATAAAAAAGATAAAAATTTTAAAAATACCCTTTTCTTTGATATCATGTTTAAAAAATAACCATTAAATTTTAAGAGTAAATTAACATTTTTAATATTTATTAAAAAGAAATAAAAAAGATTATTATAATATGTCTATTTTAATTTTGGTAGATCATCTCTAAACTTTTTAAATTTTTATCCCTAAAAGTTAAGATATTAATTTTACATAAGAACTTTTTAAATTGTTAAAAGTGTGTATAAATTTTTAAAATTTTAAGGATATTAATGAAACTTTTGAAAATTTTGATATTTTTAGACACCATAAATAAAAAAGTATAATTCTAAAATCTATATTATTAAAAGTTTAGAAAAATTCTTTAAAAAAAAAAATTAAAGGTATTATTGAAACTAAAGAATATATATCAATTATATCCCACAAACATCAAAATTAATTACAAATTACTAAATTTAATATCTATTCGAAGTACAAAATTATAATTGAGCAATTAAATGAACATTTGAATGGAAATATTGAGACAATAATATAACAACAAAAATTATATTTTGATCAATTCTTTGTTCTTCATTCACCCTTGAATTGAGCTTTAAAACTTCTTCCCTTAGCTTCACATATAAGTTCATGTAAAAAGTTCAAATGTCTCCACAAGATAATGTGCTTGAAATTTTAGACACTTAAATGATAGATACTATAAAACAACGATGATTACAATTGGAATATTCTTGAGAGAAAAAAAGACACAAGGCATGTAAGTTCAATCTCCATGACTAAAAAAATGGCATAACATCAGCTGTGTAGAGGTGCCCAACGGTCCTAGTGTCGGGTGGTCGTGGTAACATCTTGGATTGACTCAATTCCATGTTGCCCAATTCAACAAACACGATGAATAAATCATTCGACACGACACGGTATGTGATACCGGTGAAGTGTCGGGCCAAGTTTGCCTAATCTATGAGACATTTCTTCTAGCTGTTCGATTTGTGGTTCGAAAATTTGCCAAACTCAGCTCATCTCAACCTGCACAATCAAATTTCCCTAGAACCTAATAGTCTAGATGATTCTACTTATCCTTGTTAGCAGCAGATACAGATACTTAGTCTTACCAGTTTAGAAAGCTGAACCTACTGCCACTGCCAACAACATCCTCATTGGTTGAATCAGATTCACTTCCAACAGTTTCATCTGAACTATCATCACTTGGGAGAAGTTGAATCCTATCTGCATGCTCCATGATCCAATCTGTGAATTCAGGGGTTGATGCCAACTCGGACAATGCTTGTTGGGTCGAATGTCTAGTGAAATCATTCCAGGCTTTCTTTGTGAACTTCTTTCGATTATGGGTCTTATGGAAGGTTGAGTAGTAGTCCCGATCTTGCATCCCGGAGGACGGTGAGATCGCCCCTGCAAGTAACACATCAAGCAATGAAAATGGTAAGAGGCAGAACAAACCAGGAATAGGAATGGCAGTCAAAATGTACAAAAGCAGAAGCAATAGAGCAAACGGCCAACAGAAAACAGTACCTTTAACAGGAAAACTCGACCAAGCTGGGGTGTGGTTATCAGAAACTCTCCATTTCCGGTCTTGAGGGTATGATCGGCCAGCGAATTCAGGATGAATCTGCTCCCTAACAATTTGCTTATTCTGCCGGTGCCAAGGGCCACCAGATCCAGAATATGATTGATTCCTAACAAAAATAGAACAATTTTAGAAGTCTGATGGTCTGATCAGTATCTTATATATATCAGAAACCACATCCAGCACACAAGAAAGAACAGCCTAAGAGGCTAGGTAGAGGGCAACTAATACAAAAGTATGAATAGATAAGGTAAACAGTACCGATGGTAAAAATAGATGAGCTGACTACGCCTTCGCCACTAGCTACTAGATTAAAGCAAGATTCACATACTTGACCGTCTTTTAAGGAGGTAATATGAAGAAGCCACTGTTATGGTTAATGATATGAAACAAGAGACATCAATCATACAATATGTTTCAATGAAGATGTAAAGAAAATGTTGTTGAAATTATCGAAAGATATTTCAATTCATGCCACATTGAAGAAGAATAAAGTTTCATTATTATAAATTTTGGGTGGATTACAATTTAGAGTAATTTAGAATTATTGTATTTTATTAATGTATTTTAAGACTTTTTATTTACCTCAAATTACATTTACATCATGGTTAATTATGGCCATAGGCCATAAAGTTTGAATGTTACAACTCTTGGAATGCTTTCTATAGGTTCATTTTGAGGCTATATAAAGCCATGTATGCTGTATTTGCAAGGAGAGTTGGAAAATGTAGTAAAAAGAGCATTTGTGCTTTCTTTAGCCAATGGCTAAGTTTCTTTGCAATTCTATGTAGTTTAGGTTGCATGTAGAATCATTCAAGCTTGACATAATCAATCTTGCCTGTGGAGTGATTCGAATCTCAAACAAGTGTTCTTGCCTTGAGATATTTGATCAACACGAATCATTCAAGCTAAACATGATCGATCTTGTTTGTGGAGTTTTTGCCTTGGAAATCACTACAAGGGAAGTAAGATTCGGATTACCTTGTTGATGAATATCTCAAGGCAAAAACTCTTGTTTGAGATTCGAATCACTCCACAAGCAAGATCGATCATGTCTAACTTGAATGATTCTTGTTGATCAAATATCTCAGGGCAAGAACACTTGTTTGAGATTCAAATCACTCTACAAACAAGATTGATCATGTCAAGCTTGAATGATTCTTGTTGATCAAATATCTCAAGACAAGAACATTTGTTTGAGATTCGAATCACTCCACAAGCAAGATTGATTATATCAAGCTTGAATGATTCTACATGCAACCTAAACTACGTAGAATTGCAAAGAAATTTAGTCGCACAAATGCTCCCTTTATTATATTTTCCAAGTCTCCTTACAAATACAACATACATGGCTTTATATCGCCTCAAAATGGAACTATTAAAGGCATTCCAAGAGTTGTAACATTTATACTTTATGGCCATAATTAACCATGATATAAATGTAACCTAAAGTAAATAAAGAGTCTTAAAATACATCAATAAAATATAATAACTCTAATTTACTCTAAATTGTCCCTCTAAATTTATAACAATGAAACTTTCTTCTTCGATATGGCATGAATTGAAATATCTTTTGATAATTTCAACAACATTTTCTTCACATCTTCATTGAAATATATTGTATGATTGATGTCTCTTGGTTCATATCAGTTAAGATAAAAAAGAGGTAAAAAGGAGAGATGAAATGTTTTATGTTTCCCAAGATCAATTAAACATACTTATTTTGCATGACTTTTAGGATGATAAATGATCCCCAACCCAACCATAGTAACTTAGAAAAGTTCAATTCAAGAAGAAGATGAAATAGCCCCTTACCAAATGTCCATATCCAACATTTAAACAAGCGAGATCTTCTAATTGTTATATATGAAGCAGAGCATAAAAATGATTAAAATTGCTCCAGAGTGAGAAAATTTGATTGAAAAATATCTGCTTTAAACATGTTAAGGAAGTGGAAAGGTAAGTAATATTGAACTCAGACCGAACCACACCACTTCGGAAAGTAAATAGACGAGCAGATGACTTACATGGTACCACACCGCTTCAGAGAACAGATAAGATAGCAGACGGCCCAACAAAAAACAAAGGCACCAAGTGCTAAAGGAGCATCAGGGGTACTCTGTAAAATAAATGAACCACAGAACAGTTAAACATTTGACTATATTGTTTTTAAAGACTTAAAATACATGACAGTAAAGGAACTTGGAAAAAATTACACCAATCGGAACTGATAAAAATGTCTACAATCTGAACAAAATTTTTGGAAAGGGTAGATCAAGAAGTCAACTTCTAAATGATTCCCCCTCTTTGTTCTTGAAATTCTTAATTCAAAGTTTAAATATGGCACAAATCCGAAGACACAGAAACATTGGCAAACCTGAAAGATAGACGTAGCTCCAATAATACGCATTGCCCATTTTACAAACTGGGCCACACCAACATCAACATTCCCATCCTCCGAGATCACAAACTTCCGGACAATCCAGTAACCCAAGGCAGCTCCAGAAAGAACGATCCCCAGAAGTAAAAAGATGGCAACCTGTAAGCATATGAGAAGGAAGGATTCAGAATTAGCACATAAATCAATAGAAATGGAAAGAAATGCGATTGGAATCATAGGTGCCTGATCTCAGTCCTTAGATTTATGGAAGGTTTTCATTCATTCTTTATTATTATTATCATTTTTTTTTTCTTTTTGTTGCAACTCATTTGGGATTGGGACTCTTTCTTATCCCCTTTTCTTCTTGTAAATTTCATTCATCAATGAAATTGTTTCTTATAAAAAAAAAAATCTTTTGTGTGTTGCCGCATCTCATTCATCTTAGCCCCAGTTCCATTTTTTTTTTCTAACTCATGCATACGATTGAATAGGAAAATAGAGGTCTATCGTTCTTTTTCCTCAACAGAAACGAATAGATGATCCCTCTAAATAAATATAAGTGCCAACACAAGTGTCACATACCTTCTTTGCTACACAATTCTCTAGGTAGGTTCCAAAAGTCACAATATCGTAAGGTAAAAACAGAAACAAGTAAGACTGCATGAAAGAAAAGAAAACTATATGCTTATACATCTGCCTTGGCTCCAAGCCTTTAGGCTGTCCCCTTTCTCTTTTTTTCTTTTTAATTATACCTCCATATGTTACTTAACCCAAAAAATAAAATAAATAAAAACTATAAAAGCTTATACATAAGATGTAACAAACTCCAATATGTTGTAAGTATGCACACTAGAACGTAAAGTTAAGAATCTCATTTGAAATTCGTTAAAGAGTAAAAACAAGAGGAGCTTAGACTTACAGGATTATGCATTTCTTCTTTCAGTCCAAAACTGAGAAGAATCGAATTTACCAATGTTGCAAAGTGGTGGACAAGATACGATCCTGCTCCTAGCTGGAAAAGACGATGAGGCAACTTTCAAGGAATGCTCAACTGAAATAAGTCAATACGAAAATTCTAATTCTAATTTTATACTCACCACCGATCCATAGACAGTGAGATAAAGTACATTCTTCCTTCCAGTTGGCAACAACTTCATTCCCTGCATAATGAACAAATAAGCAAGGGGAAGAAAATATTGTGAGCTTGTAAATAAGATATTAGCATGGAAGGTTCTGGTTCATCAACCATCAAATTGAGAGAGATATGGAATGGCCTCAAATTTTTCATTGCTAAAATCTATGTATACTTGCTTGTGAACTTTGCATTATCCAAATCTTGTAAGGGAAATTGTCCACCATCTATTTCCAGTAATTGCTAATTGTGTGTGGTTATTTATGAAAAATAAATCTTAGCCATGTTGTCTTAGGTCTTAATTCCTCAATCAAATGTTAAACTTCACAAGTATGTTACATAAGTTAATCAGATAAACATCGAACAGCACATCTGAGAACTTGAACAATAACAACTCAAAGGAGAAGATACCAATGCCTAAATTAAACTTGCATGGTTGATCAAATTTATGTATTTAATTTGTAAATTCAGATGAAGGAGGAAGCTAATTGAAGAGGGGCACACTGAATTCATGGAAAACGCACAAACCCACACACAAAGACCATGCCCATGGGAAGACATAATTCGGTTAATAATGAAAACTCCGTAGAAAAGAAATGAAATTGTTAAACAAAGCAGTAGTGGATAAACTATTTCAATATTTTTCCATCATTTTAAACAAAAAGCCCAGAGATTCAAGTGATGAGAAGACTCTCATGCGGAAACCATGAGAAATGGTTCCTTGAAGTAAATGAGAAATCATCAGTAATTACTTGTATCAAAATAAAGATTACACTAAGATTAAACCTTGGATAAATATATTTGCCTTTAATATAAAAAACAAAAAAAAAAAAATTATAATTGCTTTTTAGATAAACGACCATTTTGTAAACATGGTGACCTCATCTGGATTGAGCTAGAAATTTTGTTGTAAACAGAAAAGATGACAAAGAGTTGATAGGTATAATATAACAATTTCATACGTGAAAAATTCATGTTAAAGAAGGTTTCATAATTATAATGACAAATCGCATAGGATTATTAATTCAATTGTAATTTATTCATTATTTAGTTGATAGGATTTGATATAAATGATCAGGTTTAATTTATCAAACGTAAGTGTTAATCATAACCTAAACTAAACCTGAGATAATCCCTAGTTTCTTCCAAGCTTTACGAATCTCGTGATTAAGAATCTATCTAACAAAACATAGGAAAATTAAAAAAATTTAAGCAGAATATTTAATTTTAGCACCAACCCACCTCCAATTCCCATTAAAAAAGAAATTTGCACAAAAAGCCACTAAAACAAACTATCCTCATATACTAGGACTGGGAGTTTGAAAAATTATCGTTTTTTTTATTGTTAATCTTTAGTACCTGAAAAAGAATAATTAACACGACGAGGAAAATTCCGATAGCCATCGAACTGCTGTAGTAAAAAGGAACCCAGCTGCTGACAACAGGAGCAAGCAGCAGCAACATAAATCCCAAAGCTAGACATAATAGTCGCCACTGTTGGAAATCTGCAAGAAATTAGAAAAGAAATTAACATACAAGTAAAGTAATTTAAGACTGAGGAAGCTCAATGGCCAATGTTATACATACCTTCTTCAATAGCAATTGTCACAGGACCACTTAGAGGCGTGACATTAATAACTTTAACATCAATATATCTAACTTCATAAGGAGACATGGTGGAACTCCACAATCCCCTTTGAAAAGTTTTCCACTCTTCATTTTCACACTGACACAATCCAAGTGAATTGTTCCTGCAGAGTTTATGGTGAAAAGTATTAGAAGTGATGTTTTGGAACAGCTTTGGTAGACAAGAAAATGGTTCTAATTTTTTCACTTGTAGTTGCGCTAGTATCCAATGTTTCAAAAAGACTTTGAATCATATCCCTTGAGAGTTGAGACTTGCCCATGAACAGTGCAAATTGTAAGCAGCACCAATACTCGTGTCTTCTTCAGTTTAGAAGAGGCTAGTGAGCAGTGAATATCAGTCTATGGTACTCCACCTACCAGTGAAAACAAACCCCAATTTTGGTATGTTGTCTTTCAGGAATAGCAACAGACGGAACTGCAGTGATCCGAAAAGAACTGGCAAAGCTTCCAAGTTTTAATCTTGAAAGACCAGCAATCCGAACACGATCACATTGTAAATCACTGCCTCCAGAAAGTGAAGACGGAAAGATGTCCTCAGCTGGGTGCTCGAGGTCAATACCTATCAATTGTAAAAAACATAATTGTAGTAAGAAATTAATCGCACAAGGTTGTTACTAACTAATCTGTACTACACAAACGAGATAATGCAAAATCAGAACGTTAAATCAACAAACATATATCAGATACAATATGCACGAAAGAACAATTAAAGGATATATTGTATTACATACGGATCTTGAAAAATTATTATGAAACTCAATTGAAAGTAACAAACACACACACCGAATTTTGAATGGCCATCTTGATGATAAAACCACGCACATTGATACATGTAAAAAAAGGACTTACAATTGACACACTCATAGATCCTGGAACGCGTTTTTCCTCTATTTTTACTCTGACAAAGAACTGCTTACTAGTTACAACCTACAATCGGCTCGAACGAAACAACAAAGCGGAAGAAAACGAACGAATCGAACTGCAAATACAAACCCTGATCCGCAGTCAAATCTCTAAAAACACCATGAATCAATCTGGCATCAATTCAGAATCCCACCTAAAAGGATCAAAAAGCACCCTGACTGCAAATCAAGCTTCCCCCCACACAAACCCAATTGAAAATCCCTCCCTCACGGACTAGAAGATCACGCACAAACATCAAAACCTCGTAAAAAAGTTAAGAAGGATAAAAAAAACAAGCATCGAAATTAGGAAAGGGAAAGAAAGATACTCTTGATGGCGGTGTCGGGGGCTGCATGGAAGACGAGGAACAAAGAAAGGATGGAAAGGAGAAGGAGGGCGATGGAAACGGAGGATGAAGCGGCCATAATCGCTGCAGGAATTGGCTGAACTTGCGTATGGAGGTTCTGCCCAAGAGCGAGAGAATATGGCGGTCTGTGGATTTGAATTCCTTTGGAGCTTCATCTCCATAGTTTGCGACATGAAGCTCCGATTGCGTCCACACCAAGCAGCCGCGTTTCGCCTACGCGGAGGGAGTCAGTGTTTTTGGGCTTGGGCCTCTGCAAAGGTTTGAATTCTGGCCCAAGCCCATATACCTTCGAGTTTGAAAATTTCTAATTTAATCCTTTTAATATTATTTATATTTTATATATATATATATTTTGGTTGGATTTGTATATATTAGTTTCTAAATAAATTTAATTTTACATGTAATAAATATCTCAAATTTTAAAATAAAATTTAATTGTATATAATTTTTTTTTTTGTATTTTATAGATATATAGAAAATTTTAAAATTAAGAAATTAAATTTGAAAAATTAAAAATTATATTAAATCATTATATTAACGAACATGCTCGAATCCACATCATCTAGCTAGTAAATAATTGACGGTAGAATAGCAATAATTAACCAAGATAGCTATTCTTTAAAACTTCGTAAACTATAAGAGACATTATGCTTTTGGACGACTCTTTGATATTTCATATGTAACTCCGTGCAAATAATTTTACGGGTGACTGATAAAGAATTTGAGTTCAGCGTGCATTGACTTTGATAATTGTGAATATTGCTATAATTGAATGTAATTCTCATTCAACAGACATCCTCTCTTACCAATCTCTATCTCTCGTACTCGCTAGGGCTTCAAGATTGTGTATACCTTGGTGTTTTGTTTCAATCAATTGAAAACGAGGAAGATACAAGGTAAAGACCGAAAAAAAAATGTGAGCTCTCCTCTCAACGAATTCTATTGACATGACTTTAATTTGATACCATGTTAGAAATCACGAATCTCCACAATTGTATGATATTGTCTACTTTGAGCATAAGATCTCATAACTTTGCTTTGGGTTTCCCCAAAAGACCTCATGTCAATGGAGATAGTATTCCTCACTTATAAACTCATGATCTTCTACTAAATTAACCAATGTGGGACTCACTTCCAATAATCCTCAACAAGATTTGGAATGAGTAATTCAAATTATTTTCATAACTCAAAGGTTCCAAGAAGTAAATTGGGTAAAGATGAAAATGGAAAAGAAATTCACAAGATGTTGCACGAGCAAATGGTTGGTTGTTTAATATATGCAATAACCACATGACTAAACATCATGTACATCGTGTAAAGTTAATCGATTCATGCAAAGTCTAAGGAGTCTCCCTTGCAAGTCGTGAAAAGAATTATACATTACCCCAAAAGAACGAAGAAAATATCTAATGGACTATATTGATGTTGACTGTGCTAATTGTGTTTACCACTTAGGTTATAATAGTAAAACGTCATAGTAAACAACATATTTACTGTTTAGGTTATAATAGTAAAGCTATATACAACAAATGACATATAAAGTAAATGGTCATATGTAGTAAACAACCGTAAAAAAAAAACTATATAGGGTAAATAGTTATATTATATATGTAGATGACTTCATCTAGTAAAATTATATATGGTAGATAGTTATATGACTGGTAAAACTATATATATATAGTAAACTGATTTCTACTGTTCTTTTTTTTTTTTTTGTTGGTTTATAATTTCTCTCTTCTATATATATATATATATATTTTGTATTTATCTGGATTGAGTATATGTTGTCGTGAGATCCTAACAATAATAACATTAAAGAAAATGTCTGATTGACTATGTATTCATGTTGAGCGAGACCGTTATCTCATTGAGTTTCAAAAAGTAACCAGTAGTGGGTTTATCAACAACTAAAGCATAACTGATAGTAGTAGCAGTAAGCTCTCGATAGACTATATGGCTTAGGCGACTACTTGAGGTAGCGGGAAGAAAGCAAGAAAGTCATACGGCTCTATATTTTAGACAATAGCTCTACCGTAAAAATCAAGGAATCTAGTTACGCATGGGAGGAGTAAGCATATTGATATATGTTTTCACTTCATAAGGAATCTTACAAAGAATGAAATAGTTCAGCTCCAATATTGTAGCTTAGAAGATCAAGTTACTGAGGTTAAAAAGATTACGAGGTCGCCGGAACACGCGCGAGCGCCGGAATTCTCTTACCCGCAACCCACGATCTCTTCCGACACTGAGAGTATATCAAATGTAATCACACTTAGTCGGTCCTCACAACACACACCTTCAAGATAGGGACCACGAGTAACTGAGAGAGATCGAATGGTCGCGTAGTTTTTAGACAAAAGCAAACTGGCGAAGAGAAACCGAACCCCACCTCTTGTTTTAAGATGCCCAACGAAAGGTTTATCTTGTCAGACATAAATGTCGGTGAGACGAAACCTCCTTCAGTCAGGTGTATAAAGGTAGTGCAACACCATGGAAGAGAGGACTAACGAGTCATGGAACACCTTGATGCACTAGAACGAGTGTTGTAGCTTTGCTAGCTAAGAGTTTGAATAAATTAAAGAAATAATTTTTAAAACCAATTAAAAAAAAAAAAGAAAGATATTTTACACGTAATTTTGTCAATCTCTTTCTCTTTGCCGCAAAGAAAAGATATTTCTGATTATGGATTTTTCTCAAATGGATATTCTGATATCTCTTAATCGCAATTTGCAGCAGCGGAACAAGAATTCTATCCATCTCTACTCTGTTATCCTTCCGCCATTGAAGCATCATCGAGCTCAACTCTCCATGTTCTTAGATTGATATGAACCTTGCGTTATCTACTATTTGTTGCTTCAACTCATTTCTCCTACTGCTGCATTGAGCCAAGCACCTTCAAGGAGGCGACGTGTATTCGGCGAAGGAAGCTTCTGTTGGAAGGTTTGTTCGGTTTTTTGTTCAATGGGAACACTTACGAGCTGTAGTTTTAGTATCGGAGCCGCGAATTTCAAATTTCGGTCGAGTTTTAGGAGCTGTACTGCGAGGGAGGGAATCGGGTTATTGGGGTTTAGGAGGTTGAAGAATTCATGTTTCTTGTGCGGGAAAAGGTCGAAGAGGGGAAGGCTTTTGGTTTCTGATGGAGATTTTGGTAGGTTTGTGTGTTTTAGTTCAGATAATGAAGGCCATAACGAAGGCGACAGAGAGGATGATTCGCCCAAGGAGTCGAATGCCGTGACGGCGACGGTATCAGCTGAAGAGGTTGAAGAGAGGCGTGGCGGCGAGGTTGATTCTGAGAAGACTCCTCCATCGATTTCTTCAAGGGTATAAATTGTTGATCGTTTTTCTTTCATTTTGTTGATGAACTTCAATGAAAATTGGCTGCATTCTTATAGCTGAATGTCATTGTGGCATCATAATAACTATTGTACTGCTTTCAACTTAGAATGTCGTCTTTGATCTAGCTCAAGAGAACTTTAAGATGCATTTCTAAGAGCTGAATCTGTTAATTTGTGATTTATTTCCTGTTTCAGTCATCGAATTTGTCTCCAATTGGACCAGCTTACAACAACTTTCAGGTTGATTCTTTTAAACTGATGGAACTTCTTGGACCAGAGAAGGTTGATCCTTCTGATGTAAAATTAATAAAGGACAAGCTGTTTGGCTACTCCACTTTCTGGGTAACCAAAGAAGAAGCGTTTGGAGATCTTGGGGAGGGCATTCTTTTCCTTGGGAATTTAAGGGGTAAAAGAGAAGAGGTATTCTCCAAACTCCAAAGTCAGCTCATTGAAGTCACGGGCGATAAGTACAACCTTTTTATGGTGGAGGAACCAAATTCAGAAGGTCCAGATCCACGCGGTGGTCCACGTGTTAGTTTTGGTTTGTTGCGGAAAGAGGTCTCAGAACCCGGTCCAACAACACTTTGGCAATATGTTATTGCGTTGTTGTTGTTTCTTTTAACTATTGGCTCCTCCGTGGAGCTAGGAATTGCATCTCAGGTAGTTACTTATAGAACTTTCGTGATCAGATAGACTGAAGAATAAACTTGATTTGATGAATTGACAAAATGATAGCTAAAGATGCATGGAATATGTGTTTTTATGCTGTGCCAGCTTGTGTGTAACTTTTCTACATGCGTTTCGTTACTTCATTGCGTATATGTATATCCTTAATGGTTCTAGCCATTCTTTAATTGTCACTTTTGAAGTAAATAGTTTACTGTATCGTATTGACTTGGACAGATCAATCGCCTTCCTCCAGAGGTAGTGAAGTACTTTACAGATCCCAATGCTGTCGAACCACCAGATATGGAGCTGCTAGTTCCATTTGTAGATTCTGCTCTGCCTCTAGCATATGGTGTGTTGGGGGTTTTGTTGTTTCATGTGAGTGAAATCTTCTAGTTTCCATCTTTCTTAGTTGAAGCATTCACAAAATTGTTTATTTTTTCTTTTGCTTTCAACACACGAAAAGCACGGGGATTGTGATAACCGTCTCTTTACCTCTTCATTGTCAGATAAGAGACTAAATTTTCAGACTGCATTCTTGACCATTAAAATTTTTAGTTTACATCTTTAAATTTCCCCTGTTCAGCAACTTTCTTATAAGCCCTTTACTCTCTGGTTGTATACCTTCTGCACAGTTCTCTAGAAACATGTGGAAGACGAGGATTAGAATTGTTTTTGAGGGGGAAATTACTGAGGATATTGTTAATTTACTTGTAAGCTCAAAAGCTTAAGTGGATGGATTACGGTAAATTTAGAATTTTTATTAATACTTTATCACTCCTCCTCACTTGTGGACTTGAAAATTTGTAGAAGATCAAACCAGTGAATATCAATATTAATTGGAGAGAAAATGATATCATAAGAGTTTGGTCAATTCCTGCTCTAATATCGTGTTAAATCATCGATCAACATGGGAAAGTGAAGGAATATTTTGTTCACTACTCATTTTTTGGATTTTAGATTATTAGGGAGTTTTTTAATTCCTTACCTTTTCAATGATGTCATGTCACCTGTCATTTGATTTCCTCTGGTACATTCTTTTATTTCAATTTTAATGTCAGAAAACTATCAATCTTCACATTTTACTCTTAATCTAATGTAATTATTGCTTATGCTGATAGATTTTCTCTGAAGTGTTGAATAACACTGAATAGTCCATTGTAGTT